ACACTGAGGATTTGTCTGAGGTGGAGTTTCTTTTTGAGATAGGAAATGAGCGAGGAGTTTTTGTAGATCTTCAATCCGAACATTTCTCTTCTGAAGAATATAAAGATTTGCTGAAAAGAATTGAAAATAAAATCGATGCTACCCCTGATCTTAAAATAATCGATGGATTTTTGTATAGGAGGACAGAACATGCTGTTGGTGAACAGGTGATAGACGATATGGCATGGAAGCTGTGGATTCCGAAAAGCATGGTCCCAGAAGTGCTGAGGAAACACCACGACGACCCTTTATCGGCGCATAGTGGAATCAATAAAACCTTAGAAAGAATTCGACGTTATTATTATTGGCCTAATCTTGTAACAGACGTGAAGAATTTTATTAACTCCTGCGAAGTATGCAAGAGTACAAAGCACCCAAACGTAACCATGAGGCCCCCAATCGGTAATACTGGTACTACTCAAAGATTTTTCCAACGCTTATATGTAGATTTCATAGGACCCTACCCTAGATCAAGATCCGGTAACATTGGGATTTTCATTGTGCTAGATCATTTCTCAAAATTTGTTTTTCTTCGGCCCGTAAAAAAATTCACCGCCGATGTCATCGTAAACTATATGGAATCTGAATTATTTCATACTTTTGGTGTACCCGAGTCTATTATTTCGGATAATGGTACTCAATTTAAGGCTAAAAGGTTCAACGAGCTTCTCGATTTTTATAAGATTTCACATATATACACGGCAATCCATTCGCCACAGGCGAATGCATCCGAGAGGGTGAATCGTTCTATAATTTCTGCTATAAAGGCATATGTTAACCAGGATCAAAAAGACTGGGATGAAAAATTGAGCCATATATCCTGCGCATTGCGTTCTACAATCCATTCCGCAATAGGAACATCTCCATATTTTATGGCATTTGGTCAACATATGGTTACCAATGCATCTACTTACCAATTATTGAGAAATCTGAATGCGCTGGAAGACAGATCCATTAATTTCAACAGATCTGATACATTTGACATTGTTAGAGCAAAGGCACTCCAGGTTATGAGAAGACAGCAAGAGCGAAATGAAAAGCAATACAATCTAAGGTCCCGGCAAGTATCTTATGAAGTCGGTCAGGAAGTTTACCGCCGCAATTTCAGTCAGAGCAACTTCGAAAAGGGATATAATGCAAAACTTGCACCAACTTTTATAAAATGTAGAGTCCGTAGCAAATGTGGTAACTGCTACTACGAATTAGAAGATCTCCAAGGAAAATTGATTGGCACTTACCATGCGAAAGATATGCGCCAGTAGATACCTATTGTTAATCTACATGCGTTATCAATCTTAACGACCTTCAGCCATTAAGTTTGATTTTGGTGGGGGGTATTTGTAGTGGCGCATGTAGATTTATTTATTTTTTATTTTTTATGCTATTGTTATGGCACCCCAATAAAATAGGTTTGCGCACCTCGGTTTACATTGAACCAAATGCGAATTTATCATTCTCGTTATGTTAACATTATTTCATTAATTCGAAAATGTACTCGAAGATGTAAATCTATTTTTAGAACACCTTTTCATGTTGTTTGACTTAGTGTTGTAATTGGTGCAGCCATTGCAATACACAACAACCCTACTTCTCATTAGGAAAGTCTGGCTTTAGGCTTGAAGTAGCTCAGAGGTAGTGTTGTTGGCTGCGGATCTGAGGGCCGAGTTCAAACCCCCACCGGGTGATGATATGTTTTTTTATAAAATATTGTTTTTTTTTTGCGAATTTTATCTTTTATTAGTTATTTCACCACATCTTTGTTAGTAATGAAATTGGGCTATGATTTGATGAAGAAGCGAGTAAGAGTTCTTTTTTTTCGGAGTCGCTGAATTGGTTAAAATTTCTCCTTGTGAGGTGGTGGAATTTGGTTTTTACTCGCTAGTAGTTTTCTCGCTATTTAATATAGATTTATGTATTTTGGCAATGTATGCTACATTAATACATTCATCTTTAGTAGCCATGTTGATTCTTGGAAAATTTGCTTGGTATTGGTTACTCAGCCATTTGTGCCATAGGAATTGCTAAGGTTACAAAAGGAGGAATTTGAGAAGGGTTTCGGCCTATTTTCATCTAACCTATCATCTGCTAACAATAAATTTGTGAACCGTAAAAATTATTGTGATTTTGGATATAAAAGAAAGTGATTTTTCCCTTTGAAATTGAAGTTTATATACTTTAAAGTGATAATTTTTAATATAGAAAGGTGATGTTAACGTAATATTACGGTTTCGTTTTTTTATTAGTTAATATTCCATAAATTGTAGATTCGGGATGATACTGATTTGATGGTTCAATTTTCATTTATTCCATAAGTTTTCGCTTGCTTACTGGATATAGTACATTTTTTGTTTGGCGATATTAATGTAATTTTGGTTTCCACTGGTAAGGCTCTGTTCGCATAAATACTCTCAATTGGGCAAAAGGTAATTGTGGTGTTTTTTTTTCTTCTTATTCCTCTTTTCTTAGTACCCCCTTGTCTCTGATCTACTTCGATGTTCCCTGGCGCCTAAAGTCAGTGGTATCGGTTGGTAGAACATATTGAGAGCTGTGCTCAGTATTTTTTCGATCAGCAGTAATATCAGTTCGGTAATTGGCACAAAGCAAAACAGAAAAATCTACTGTTGGATTGGCTGGGATCGTAAGAGCAGTGGATAAAATAAATCAAAAGCTTTGTAACGAAGTTTTTATGCAAGCCAAAATTGGAAAAAATTGCGATTATGCTGAGACCACATTTAACATTGTAATATCATTGTTGTGCTGTACACTTATCATAAAAAAAGTGAGATTGAATATTTTGCTCCACCAGAACCATAACAATCGAAACAAGTGGTAGTGAAACAACTGTTTTATATGAACTGATATTAATATACTTCAATAATATTAAATTGGAAAAAAATGCCTGTTTAAACAACAGTCGATCAAGGATCTCTTTGACATTTTTGGAAAAAAAACATAGTTTGATAAAAGCCATCAAATTTCATAAGTAATACTGGTGCCCGGAATTTGATTTGCTGGAGTTTGCTAAGGTTGCGATAACCCTCAACCCCCTCTGAAAGGCCTTTCGTCGTGGGAGCTCCATCAGAACACAAAGTAAGTCAATCTCTCTTATACTCATTAATTCGAACAAGCACAAATGATGAACAGAGTTGATGAGAGTGCATGGTAAGCCCGTTATGTCTCTCTAAATGTTTCAAACCATTGTTTTGTTTCACATTAAATAAAAAAATTATTAATTTATTGTGAAAAAGCTGAAAATTGCTAACTAAATTTTCAAATCCGGTTCATACATTTGTGTTTGTGAGCTTTTCATTTCCCGTGACACCTATATGAAAATTTACTAGTTGGTTGGGTATATAAATGTTACAGTTGATGTTAACAGAGAAGTAGCTATCATAACATTGGTTCCTCTGTTAGCATAACCAGAAGAATTTTACAGTTTGGAAAGCACTGCACAAACATCATATTGTTATTTCTTTTTGTTTCTTATAGATTTTTGTTTTTTTTTTACAAATTTTTATATTTATATATCTAACCAACTGCATTTATTAAACCATGTTAATCCAATTGATCCAAAGTGTCTGTTGATTTTGGTTATTGACTTTTTTTTGTAAAAATATACTTCATACTGCTGGCTGTTGGTTAGTGTGTGAGCGGAGGTCAATGCCCTCACAGCTGATCGATGGTAGAGAAAGTATAAGATATTTTTGTACATACAAACATACATATATGATGATTTGCATCTAAAACAGTTGTTGTTTCACCACAAGATCAAAAATAATTTATTATTTATATTATTTCCGATTTATTTTTTTATTGTTGTTCTCCTTGAGTTTCTGGTGGATAGTTGTGTGAATCTAAGGCAAAATAATTTTTTTTAAATATTATTATTATAATTTACTAAATTTATTATTAGGTAGATTAAACTTTTTGCAATTTGAATATTTTGTTCTTGTAATTTAATTCCTATTTATACATTTTTTCGATTCATTATTAATTAATTTAATTATGTATTTTGTAACGTTGAGAAAATTTTTTCATAATTTTGATACCCTCTTAAGTATGCTTTTAAGTCATGTTTCCGAATTTAAATGAATATGGTTTTGAATAAAATTCTGTTTTCTGAAATATGAACTAAACTGAATTATAAGGTTTTGATTTAAAGGAGTCGGATAGGAGAGTGGATAATGAATAATGGGTTTACTATGGACGTGTATTCTTTTTTGTTGAATATTGGTAGTAAACAGGTAGGGTGGGTAAGTCGTGCAGCATACACCTATGCATGACCAAACCAGGATGTAAACTTCAATCTCTATACTTCCCCCTAAGGCTGTAGATATCTTCTCCTGTATATCTTCTTTTTTTCGTACTTCCTCTTCTGTTATGTTATTGAACGATCACGCATTATTAAATTTAAAGCTAGTAGTTACTGATATTGTTGATGGAATTTGGCAAGACCTCACCCCCCCGACGAGCACAAAGGCCGGAGAAAAATGCGTGCTAAGCCATACCAACCATCCTAAAAAAAAAATATACATATAATTTGGAATTTGCTTAAACTTCGAACTCTGGTATACTACAGCTCACCAAAGTCCAAATTGTATCAAATTTAGTACTTTTCGTACTCATAAGTACGAATTTCCAAAACTACCTCAGTCACGGATTCCAATAATAATCTTAAGCCCATAAGGATTAAGCTCTAACCATTCACCAACATTCAACGTTTCTATAAATTCAAACTTCTAGCTTCAGCCATTTCGTCTCGGCGATGATCTGTCACTCACTCACTCAATTATCACTAAGCTCTTTTATATATTAAGATTACAAACCAATTAAATATATTTTTCTATAATCTATAAATATTTTTTTAACAAAAAATTGTAAACAACGATTATAATATTAATAAAACAGAATAATAATTTTTTAAACAAAATTTCAAACAGAAACAACAATATTGCACAATATCACCAATTGTCGCAGGGCACAATCATAACGCCCGATTGTGGTGAATGCCTTACACCAAATGAATAGTTAGGCGATCGTTTACCCGGTTTATATTCCATGCGATCGTAATAATTCGAACCGGGTCCGTAGAGTTTAAATTGATAGTTTGTCCTCGGCGCCAATGTATAACTGGGACTGGATTGCTTAATGGCTGCTAGATTCGAGCGTGGATATGTTGCCGGTCCCGGCGAACGTGCCAATTCCGGAAGATACTTTTTAACACCACTAAAAGGGAGGATAATATATACAATTATTTGACAGGGACCTACTATATTCAGAAAATACTTTTAACGGGGTATGTTATAATAGACGATCTCTTAACGGTGTCTTCTATATAGAGAAGACCTATTAACAGTGTGTTTTATACATTGAAGAAATTTAAAAATATAATATTTTAACAAGCTTCTTCTTCGTAGAAAATCTTCTAACGGGATCCATATACCGAAAACCCATTTACGGGGTCTTCTATATATCACAAACCTATTTACGGGAGCTATAAGGCTTCTTGTCCTTTGACATACCTTGCCAGAAAATTTTAGCAAATATGGTGGTCAAAAAAATCTAGCGTCCTTGAGGTTGGCTGCTAGGAAATCGTATGTTAAAGCTAATAAGATTACAGACTGGGACGTATATAGAAAACAATTCAATAGGTAAAAAAGTGAAATTGAGAAGGCTAATATGTGAGTCTTGGTTGTGCGATTCAATCGAAGGAGTAAAGATTCAAAATCTATAGGTAGTATAAAGGGAAACGAGGGAGCGTGGACTAACTCTGGCATAGAGACTCTTGATATTCTATTATCCACCCTCTTCCTTTCTTGTATGGACCATAACGACGAAGTGCGGTGTGCACATCGGCATACGGTTCGACCCATGGAAGAGGAGAAGTTGATAGAGAACACTATAAGCTTCCCAAAGTTGGTATGGACAATAAATAGCTTTCAACACTAGAAATCCCCGGGTCCAGAGGGCATATGGCGATGATGTAGTCCTGCTAATCGGTAGGAAATTTATGTCAATTATTTCTGAATTATGCAGGGTGCCTAATTAGGCTTTTATAACTGGGCACACGCCAATGGACTTGTCGTAACCCCACTAATACAGAAATGGTACTTTTCACTAGGAAACGTAAAATTCCTATTCTTACATTTCTTAGATATGGTTGCCTCCTTGTACGGTGGCAAGGGGTCAGTAAGTATACACTGCCAAAATGAGTACTGTACAGCTATCGGCGTCAATCCTGTTAACTGGAGCGCTGAGAAGCACATCACAGGCAGCCCTGAATACAATTCTGAATCTCCAACCATTGGGCATTCTGGTTAAATTCCACGCCGCAAGGTGTGCACAGATGCTCCGGGAAGCGGATGCCTGGAAATCGCTGAACTTTGGCCATGCTACTATCCTAAACATTCTAGAGGATTGCCCACATTAGTGACTATACTCCCTCTCATAGCAACTTTAAGGAGTTCCCGAGTAGGGAATCCTGGTCAAGTGGCTCCTTACCTCTGGCCGGTCTGTCGATATTTACAGACGGATCGAAGATAGAGCAAGGTACTGGTGCAGTTGTTTACTGCAAGGAACTAGCCATCTATAACTCATATAAACTTAATGATCTTTGTAGCGTTTTTCAGGCAGAAATCCTTGCAATCACGAAAGCGGCTGAGATAGTAAAAACACTTACTGCCGATAATGACTATATATGTCGACAGTCAGGCGACCCTCAAGGCTTTGAAGTCGTGCACTGTAAACTCAAAAGCAGTTCTTGATTGCAAGTCCGCTCTGCATGATATACGAGGGATAGTTTATTTATGTTGGGTTCCAGGACATAGCAACATAGAAGGGAACGAGATACCTACGAGCTTGCTTTACGGGGTTCTCAGTCGTCCAATCTTCCGATTGAGAGATCTGTGCAACCACCCATTGGCTATTTCATTGGCAAAATCCGTTTGTTCTATGGCGAGGTCACAGATCACAGTGGACAATAGTCTCCGAGTGAACGGTTGTTACTATCAACCGTACATCCCTAACCTAACATAGAAGGGAATGAGGTAGACGATGAGCTTGCTCGAGGGGGTTAACAGTCGTCCAATCTACTTTTTGATGGGTCTGACCAATCTCCTATTGGCTACTTTATTAGCAAAATCCGTATGAGCTAGTGGGTAATAAATGGTCATCTGGTCAGAATTTTCTCGCCGTAGCACTTCTTCCCGGCTGTCTCTTATTTAGTGGGTATCAAAATCGTTGTGGGGATCATAACAGGTCACTGCAGGGTTATATCTCTCAAGACCTTTGAATGGAATCTTGATAACGTGGTATTTAATATATAAAAGTCTTTTAAATGAGGCCTTTTATGTGTAGAATAACTTTTAATCGGGTATTTTATAATAGAAGATCTTTTAATGGGGATCTTAGAAGATCTTCGAAGGGGATCGTCTATATACAAACACCTTTTAAAGGAATTTTCTATTACAAAGACCCTTTAAAGTCGTCTGCTATAAACTGAGCATCTTTCAATGTCTTCTTCAATAAACACAAGGGGTAGGGTCTTCTATATAGAAGGCCTTTAAAGAGGATATTATATATGAAAGTCCTTCAAGGGGGTCTTCTATATAATAGAAGCCCTTTTCAAGCAATCTCGTATATATAGATGATATTTCCACGGGGTTTTTATATATTTGAACGATCATTCAATACTTACAGGCTATATTCGGGAGCTCTTTGTTTCGTGTACGAGTCATTAATGCCATATGTATTTGGACTTGGAGCACAATTTTTAAAGAAAAATGTATTAACGGCTCCGAGAGAATACGCCGGTGCATTGGATCCTTTAAATATTGGTGAATTACGCAGCTGATAGGCTAAGGGACCGGGGCTTTTACTTTTCTCTGGAAAAACGTACAAAAATATTTATAAAAAAATCGTATAAATGATGTCATTAACTTGCCTTTGTAAAATGTTTTAGGTGCCATTGTATAAACATGTCCCTTCGATATGCCATAACGTATCAATTTATCCACTTTATATCTGGCCGGTCCCGGGCCAATGCTATTATCTTTCAACTGGGTTCGTGTGCCAAATGAATATTGCGGCATTCGTTGTTTTCGCAAATCATGACTTTCATAACCAACAGTTGGTGGTAGACCGTAGAGACCAGATGGACCTATGGGCACAAATATATACTGTTTTAAAGGGTATAGGAAATAAATCTGGTGCAATATTACCAGTTGTCATTTTCGCTAAAATCTAGAGATTTTTATGCAATATTTTTGTTGTTTAATTTTGAGAAAATGTTCGCCAAACAAGGAATATAGAACCGAAATTTAGGAAAGCCAAAAAGGAAATGACAGAACATTTTAAATTCTTTATTATTTTTTCTCCATTTACTATAAAAATTTTACAATAGGTATGTTCTGGACTTTTGTGGGGAAACCACTTGGTCTTCTATCTATTATAAGGAAATCTTCTTTGAGAAGACTTTTCAAAATTATGGGAAATGACGTTAGGGTTTTCGATGTGGAGACATTCTGGTCTCCTATAAGGTTTTCTGTGAGAAGACCTTCTCATTTTCTATGAGAAGACCTTCTGGTGTTCTATGTGAAGACCTTCTGGTTTTCTAAGAGAAGACCTTTTGTTCTTCTATGAGAAGACATTTTCGTCTTCTATGAGAAGGACTTCTGGTATTCTATGAAAATACCTTCTGGTGTTCTATGAGAAGTTATTCAGGTCTTCCATGAGAAGACCTTCTGGTTTTCTATGAGGAGACCTTCTGGACTTCTATGAGGAGACCTTCTGGTCTTCAATGAAAGATCATATGGTCTTCTACGATGCGAGACGATCTTATGGGTTTCTATGTGAAGACCTTCCGGTCTTCTATGTGAAGACCTTCTGCTTTTCTATGAGAAGAACAGCTACTTTCTGGTTCTTAATGAGAAGACGTTCTGGTCTTCTATGAGAGGATCTTCTGGTCTTCTAGGAGGAGACCTTCAGGCCTTCTATGAGGAGACCTTCAGGTATTCTATGAGAAGACTTCTGGTCTTCTATGAGGAGATCTTCTGGTCTTCTATGAGAGGATCTTCTGGTTTTCTATGAGGAGACCTTCTGGACTTCTATGAGGAGACCTTCTGGCCTTTAATGAAAAGATCTTATGGTCTTCTACGATGCGAGACGATCTTATGGGTTTCTATGTGAAGACCTTCTGGTCTTCTATGTGATGACCTTCTGCTTTTCTATGAGAAGAACAGATACTTTCTGGTCCTTCATGAGAAGACGTTCTGGTCCCCTATGAGAAGACGTTCTGGTCTTCTATGAGAAGATCTTCTGGTCTTCTATGAGGAGACCTTCTGGTCTTCTATGAGGAAATCTTCTAGTCTTCTATGAGAGGATCTTTTGGTCTTCTATAGGAGACCTTCTGATCTTCTATGAGAAGACCTTTTGGTCTACTATGAGAAGACCATTTGGTCTACTATGAGAAGACCTTCCGGTCTTCTATGAGAGGATCATCTGGTCTTCTATGTGATGACCTTCTGCTTTTCTATGAGAAGAACATTCTGGTCTCCTATGAGAAGACGTTCTGGTCTTCTATGAGGAGATCTTCTGGTCTTCTATGAGGAGATCTTCTGATCTTCTATGAGAAGACCTTTTGGTCTACTATGAGAGGATATTCTGGTCTTCTATGAGAAGACCTTCTGGTTTTCTATGAGAAGACCTTCTGGTCTTCTATGAGAGGATCTTCTGGTCTTCTATGAGAGGATCTTCTGGTCTTCTATGAGAAGACCTTCTGGTCTTTTATGAGGAGACCTTCTGGTCGTCTATTAGAAGACCTTATTGTGTTCTATGAGGAGAACTTCTGGTCTTCTATGAGGAGACCTTTTGGATTTCCATGAGGAGAACTTCTGGTCTTCTAGGAGAGACCTTCTGGTATTCGACTCTTCTGTACGAGGATTTTCTGCTCTTCTATACGAAAACCTTCTGGTACTCTATGCGAAGCCTTCCGATCTGTTCAGATTTAAATACAGTTCCTGTGTTCCTATGTTGTCGTCCAATCTGTCTGATTGCGACGAAACTAGATCGGTTCTGATTTAGATATACATTTCAAATTTATTTACGTCCGATTTTGATGGGCTAAGATGAATTTATAAGATCCCACCTATGATGCTACGTCTATCCGATCGTCAGGGTACCACCAAAATCCTTAGAGTGGAATATTTGTTATGCTAGTATTAAATCGGTACTACTGTATGTACCAAAGTGATGTAGGGTCCGTCCGACCCTTCCTTACAATGAATCTGGAGACACTAGTTTTATAAAATTGAACGAAAATGCACGATATCAGATTTTCATTAGTAGAAACATGTTTTAGGCTAGCCATCATGAAGTCAACAGGACGATCCTAGTCGTTGCGCAGCCACTACCAACAACACTACAAGTCCTTCCGACTTTGGAAATTAGCGTATGTTTTGTTAAAAACACACACAATGTACGTGTGAAAATGTGTCTGTTTGTTTGTCTTGACGCCTTGTGTCTATACAAATGATGACCACTGTGACGTGAAGACCTGACTGTGATCGTTACCACTGTTTGTTGTTGAAGGAAAATTGTCTATTTTAGGACTTATTTTAGTAGATGTTGTCCTTCAGCAAAAATGTTGTTGTCTGTGGCTTTGTTATTGTTAGACTAATTGATTTAAATTGAGAGAGAATTGACGTTGCCTCATTTGTGATTATGTTGAACCATAACTGAAGACGGATCATGGATATGTATATTTAATACTAACATAAAACCTTCTGGTCTTCTATGAGAAGACCTTCTGGTCTTCTGTGAGAAGACCAGAAGGTCTTTTATGAGAAGACATTCTGGTCATTTATTTTGTCTTCTTGAGAAATTATTTTGGTCATTCATTAAAAAAGTCAATGGTCTTCAAAAATCTTTGTGAATGTTTGGAATTTTTTGTGCTCTTTTTTTATTTCTCTATGTATTTGAAAAAAAAAAACATTCAACACTTTCAAAATTCAGAGTCAGAGTAATTAGGATCGTTGACAGTCAGGTTAGGTCACCAAAATAACATTGGAAGTGACAACCAATGTTGGTGACAGATGGTCGGATTAACACACAATAGCCTACACTAGCAAAGTGTTCAAAATAAATATATATTTTTGCCTTACAAAATGACACATTAGGCCCGGTAATCCTCTCGTCTACAAATGTCTAGCCGCCTTTTTGTGGTAAAGGCTCGCCATAAAATCGCCACGATGATAGATCAAGTTCGTATGTTGATTTTTGATTGAGAGGCGGCCGACAATGTCATTAGACTACTTATAGTAATTTTGTTGGCTAGTTTGGCACGCGACGACTAGCCGCCTAGCTAGCTGGGCATTTAAATTTTTGGACCATCAGCAATACAAAAATAAAAGAATCGATCTACGAGTCATCTAAATAATACACACAAAATTTTTTTTTTACTGTAAATAATAATCACAATTGAGGCGAAAGATGGTTCGCCAATTTCTCTCTCGATTTAAGTCTTTTAGTCTAACAATTCAAAGCCATAAAACAATATTTCTGTGAAAGGACACCGTCTATAAGTCTTTACACAGACAACAGTGAGGACGAGAATATTCTTTTGGTTCAACAACAATACAAATGATCGTGGTAACGATCACTGTCGTTCTTCACGTCACCGAGGTCATCGTTTGTATAGACTCAAGGCGACAGAACAAACAAACAAAGAGGCGCATTTTCACACCTACATTGTGATGTGGACAAATAGTCGCAATTCGCCTTTAAAACATACATATGCCCATGGTAGCAATGGGACGATTTTGTTTTGCTAATTACTTAAGTCGGGAAGACATGTTGTGTTTTTGGTTATGACTATTCGACGACTAGGATCGTTTGGTTGACTTCACAACGACTAGCCTACAACACATTTATATTTATGAAAATATGAGCTAAAAATTGTCATTCAAATTTATACTAGTGTCTCGAAGGATAAACAAAAGTAAAGCTATCATTAAGTTCAAACGGGCCGAACCTTTTTCATTCTCTACCATGTGTTGTACATTCTAAATTTCTTAATAAGGTTAGGACTTTTATGTGGATAATATCATTTTAAAATATCTGCTAGACGGTTGTTTATACGGGAAACTGAAATACCAAATTACAGACCCACAGCGTGGATAACTGGGCTAGAAAGTACAAGACATCGAAGATTAAGCTGGGCCTTAGCATAAAAGCTGGATAAATTTTATTCGCCCATCAAGAACAAAATGAGGCTTTAGCCTTTGGAGGGGAACTTTTCTACATAATGAGAAACTAAGATATAAAATTGCCTTATATAGGGATTGTCCTAAAATGTGGATCGATTTTGACAAATGAAGGTGAGAAGATTTGAGAAACCAAAAATTAAATTAGTGTCAATTGGCTTGGAAAATATGGACAAAGTCCCCATAATGCAGAATATGATATTTAGTGGTATATGAGGGCTATAGCAACATGTGGACCGACATATCCCATTTTCTGTACCAAACATCCATGGAGTAGAAATCATGTATGTAAAATATTTCGAAGTCCTATTATTAGTATTTTTACCTCTATCGTGGTTTCAACAGACATAGAATTTTGATATAATTTTATGGGGTCTTCGGTAAATATTACGGAATGATAAATTTAATATACAGCCCGCAATATGGTTCAAAGTATGCTAATGGTGGGTGTGTAGGTTCGTTCTGGCTTTCATTTCATAGCAAAACTTTGATCACTAAACTCAACTCGAAAATACATATGGGAGCTAGATAACAAGTAAAAAGTGTCAGTCGGTGTTGTCGACAGTTATATACCCCTACCCTATGGTTTGCGGAGGAGGTCTTCGGAGTTATACACAGGTTTTATTATTCGTTTTATATAAGGCATATGTTTAATTAAAGTTGTTTCGGACTTTATGTTGATCAAATATATAATATTGACCCACCTTCGGACTTGATCTAGTTGTTCAAAATTGGGTTCAAATCGGACATTCCAATCGCCTGATGTTGGATTTATATATATTGAAAATGTTGATCATTTGTGGGGGAGGTACCAGAAGGAGTGGACCAATGGATCGTATCTTCAAATTTTATCTAGGCTTGGTAAAGATAACACTGTGCTACAAAACAACAACAAAAATTTATTCAGGGGTTCTAAT